TCCTTCACGTCATAGTTATCGTCGTCGTATTGGAAATGTTCGAAATCGTTAATCATGAAATTTTGATAATTTCTCTTACCACCCCACGATGTGAATCTCGTACGTTTTTTTTTCATCCCTTCCTCATTTTTAAAATTTTCCCCTTCGTCCGTCGGGAAAAGGCCGGGAAAATCTCTTTTACCACCCCAACTCCTAAAACCCGGTCCTCTTTTAAAACCTTCCGCTATTAAATTTTTCCTATCGTACGTCAAATATCCCCCCCGATTGTCGTTGCCGGTATATTTGTCGCCGTTTTGCGAAACGGGTACGTGCACGACTAATTTTTTAATTTTGTCATTTTTCTCGTAATTAACGACGGATTTGTCATTTTTATTCGAATAATTATTAAATCCGACATTTTTATTGTTGTTTTTCTCTTGTAATTCGTTCCAAACTCTACAGGGTAACGAATCGTACGAATTTGAACGTTCGCCCTGGAAAAATAATAAAAATTTATTACCCACGGTTAAAAAAATTATTTGTTTTTATTATTATTATTATTATTATTATTATTAAAACCTTTATGCTTGTATTAGGAGCAGAAGACGTATAATCGGATCCGCAAATGATTAAATTATCATTGCTCGTTGTCGATGCCGTTGATAAAATTCCCAAAAGAATAAATGATTGATATCCGAATATCGTCGCCGGTTCTTTCATTTTTCTAAAATCAAAATTATTATTATTATTATTATTATTATTATTATTATTATTATTAATTATAACCTTTTTTTGACCTTTGACATAATAAATATTAATTTTTTATTCCGAATGTTTTATTGGTTTCGTTGTTCGAAATTGAAAAAAAAAAATGGGAAAAAGCTTTTTTTACTTTTTATACCTGAATTTTTTTTTTTTTTTTTTTCTAAAAATAATTTTTTTATTAAAGATGTCGATAAACTTATTATTATTATTATTATTATTATTAGTTTCGAATTTCAGGTATATATTTAAAAAATTTTCCTTTTTTTTTGTTGTTTTTGAAATTGTTTTAAACAAAAAGAAAAGAAAACAATGGAAGGCTTAAACGGGTATATAAGAAATTTTTTTTTCTTTGGAAAATTATTCGAACGTGATTTTTTTAATAATTATTTTCAATAATTAAAATTAATAATTATTATTATCGAACGTGAAAATCCGTTCGGAAAACAAACGTTCGACTCGAAAAACTAAACAAAACAACGACAAACATAATATAAACTTTTTTAATCGTCGGTTTTTTTAAAAAAAAAATAAAGTCGCCATGTTTTTTTTTTTTTAAATAAAGAAATTAAATTATTATTAATATTATTATTATTATTATTGTTACTATTATTATTACTACTAATTTACATAATTAATAACCAGAATAAAACGGAGTAATTAATTATTATTATTATTATGCGTTTTGCGTAAGAAAAAAGTCTGGAAATTATAAAATCGTTAAAATTTTATTAAATAGTAATTAATGAAAAGAATAATAATAATAATAATAATAATAATAATAATAATAGTAGTAATAATAATAACAACAACAACAACAATAATAATAATAATAATAAAAAAAGGTAAAAAAAATTTTTTCTTTTCTCAAACGGTAAAAATGTAAAAAACAAAAAATTTTAAAAATTTTATAAAAATTCTATTAATATAATAATAATGACGATGATGATAATAATAAATACAATAAGAAAAAATGGATAATAATAATAATAATAATAGGTATGAGTAACGTTATTAAAATAAATTTTTTTTAAAAATGCTAACCAAGAAAAACAGAAAGACAACAACAACAACCACAATGACAAACAATCAAACAAACAAAAAAAGAATCAAAAAATTCCGTTAAAAAAATTATTATTATTATTATTATTATTAGTTTTTTTTTGTTAAAATCGTAACGGTTTTTTTTTTTAAAAAAATTTTCCAACAAAAAAACGGTTTTAACAAAAAAAAAAAATTTTTTTTACAAATTATGATATGTCGTCGTGACAAAACAAACTCACCTTAAAATTATTTTTTTTTTAAACAAAAAAACAGGAACCGGAAATAGTAGTTGTAATAATAATAATTATTATTATTGAACGAACGAAGTACGTAAAATATTTAAAGTTACTTCTTCGACACGTTAGATTCGATTAATTAACGGATAAACGCGTTACCGGGAAAGAAAATAAAAAAAGGTAAAAGAAGAAGAAGAAGAATAGATGATGATGATGATGTTGGATAAAAACTAGCAAAAAAAAAAAATACAAGAGAAAATTTTTTTTTTCTTTTCTTTTCTTTTCTTATTTCTTTCTTACTTACTTTCTTAGTTTATATGTTTTAATTTGCGAACGGTTGAACGTTTAAAAACCGAACGCGGATGAGAAAATGATGAAAAAGCTTTCAACGTATTGAATAGATAACATCTATCTTATCTTTTCAGGAGTTTTTTTTCAATCCGGCGCATTTAATACTTTTTTTTTTTCAATAGGGAATCCCTTTATTTTTAGCAATGGGTGGTGATGGCGGCGGTGGCGGTGGTGGTGGTGGTGATTCTGCCTTCTTCCATCCTACCTACCACTTTTATTCTTCTTATCTTCTTCCTCTTTTACTTTCCCTTATTTTCCTCCTACTTAATACTAAAGAAAATTCATTGTGTCATTAGACCATCATCGTTATCAATTTTTGGATCCTCCATCTTTTCTTAACATTTTTAATTTTGTACATGGACGATTTGTCAAAAAGAAAAAAAAAAAATTTTTTTTATTTATTTATTAATAAACAATTTCCAGATAAGAAAATTAATTTGTTGTTGTCGTTGCTGTCGCTGTCGGTAATTTCTTCCTGGAAAAATAAATTTTTCCACTTTTCTTCTTATCATTTTCCACGTAATAAAAAAAATCCGTTGGCGAAAATGTCGTTTATGTGTATAAAAAGGATATTTTAAACAAAATGGCGCCCGTTCTACGTCATGACGTCCGCACTACGTCATCGCGTCCTCTTGTCGATTGTTAACAAATATGGCGAATGAATAGGATTCGTTAACGTAAAAAAAAAAAAAAAAAGTCGTTATATTAAATTTTATTATTATTTTAACTTTTTATTTTTTCAATTAACATTTTCTTTTTTTTTTGGGGAGGTGGGGAGGTACGGGAAGGATACAAATATTATTATTATTATTATTGAATTTTACATGGAGGATGATTTTTTTCCTCTCGCGGCCCAGAAAACATCTTGTTTCTTTTCTTTTTCATTATTATCCGGTTTATCAAATAAATTTTTCATAAATTCCGGTAAATCGAGATAGATAACATATTTTTTTTTCGCGACATCTTTAACGTCGTCATCGGTCGTCGATGACGTCAACGACGATGACGTCCGTGACATCTCAGAATTTTTACTTTCGTTTAATTTCATCAACAACAATTCTTTAAGATAACGCGATAAAATTTGTTTGATGACGTTTACCGGACAATTTCCGTTAAAAATCGGAGGAGGATATTTATCGAAAAAATCATTTTGTCCATTCGATTCGACGTCATCGAATTTTATTTTAAAATCGTTAATTTTCTTATCGTCGCAAACGATGGAAAAATCGACGAACGGAGAACGTTTTGAAAAATCGTGACGTGACGTCATAGCGTCATCGTAAATAAAAATGCAATTTTTATCATCTCTATGATGATTGTTGTTAGTGACGTCATTATTACGTCTTCCTCTTGCAGGCCAAAATTTCGGATCGAATGGCATTTCTAAAGGTACTCCGAAATTATCACGTTTCTTATCAATTATTATTTTATTTCCATCTTTTAATTTTTCCGGCGGTGATAAGAAAATTTCCGCGCGTGTTTTTAATTTAGGTATCATTAAAACTATCAATAATATTATTTTTGCCACGTGTGTCGATAACATTTTCCTCTTCTTGTTTATCAACGAAATCTACGAAAAAACATATCAATAATATATTGTTAAAATTCGATTTGACGTGGCACTAGATTTTAATGAAAAAAAATTTAAATAATTACCTACCTGCGTTTGAATACTTGTTTTTTCGACGATTTCTTTCGTTTAAAAAATGTTGATGATGATGATGATAATAATGATGATAAAATCAAAACAGAATCATTTTTTTAATTCGTTAACGATAATACTTTTTTCGTTCGATATATTTTTTATCGTGTCAATAACTATCTACTTTTTATGATCTTGACTCGCCGATGCTTAAACGTTTTTTGAAATCCATTAATACTCGAGTTGGGTTTTTAAAACATTTTTTTTTTTTTTGTTTTAAGGATTTTAATTTAGTTATTTATTTATTTTTTTTGTTTGTTGGTTTAAAACTACTGGAAAAAAAGATTTTCTCTCTCTCTCACACACACACACACACACACACTCTCTCTCTCTCTCTCTCTCTCTCTTTTGTTTGAAGTATGTTGTTTTTTTTACAGGTTGGTTTTTCCAAAGGGAAAATGGTTGTTTTATTTTTACCCTCAAGGTTTTCACTTACTTAATTTTTTTTCCTTTTTTCATTTTCTTTTTTCTTGGTCGTGGGAAGGGGAGGGCGGGAGCGAGGGGGGTCGGGGGGAAAAGGAAAAAAGGAGGTAAATATAATTTTAAAAAATAAATTTACTTTACTTTTTTTTCTCTCTGTGTTGGTGTGTGTGTGTGTGTGTGTGTGGATAATGAGTTTTAATATCATAACAAAAAAAATTTTATTTTGTTCAGCCATTTGGGAAAACAGTAATAATAATAATAATAGTACTTTTGAAAGGATTAGAGTAGTCTTGTAATTCCATCATTACACTTTTACATCTCCAGAAAAAACGTTCAGACATTTTTTTTTTCGAATAGGAAAATCTTTTATATTTTCTTTTGTTTGTTTCTTTGATTTCAGGTTGCCATGTTCTAAGTAATATTTCAAAATGGTGAGTTTAATAATTAATTCAGGTTTTTGTTAATAAGGTATCGTTTTAATATTGTTTGTTTTCCGTACAAACCTGACATCTTATTTTTTCTCCTACAGAGATTCAGATTTTGTGGAGATTTAGATTGTCCGGATTGGGTTCTGGCAGAAATTAACACTTTATCTAAAATGGTACAACAACATTTATCATAGATACTTTCCTTCATTTCTCCCCTCCCCCCGAAAATTACTTATTATCATTTTCAATGATTTCAGAGTTCTATAAAAGTAAAAATGTTGGGACAAATCGTTTTGAAATTTTTAACAGGAGACGAATTTAACGTAAGTTTTTCCTTTCTTTATATTTTTCGTAATATTATCTGTTTATTATTGTTTAATAATAATAATAATGTTAATAATAATAATGGTAATAATAATAATAATGATTGAAAAGAAGAAAGATTGACGTTTTCTTTTTTTTCTTATTCATAAACGAACGTTAGACGATATCTAAAAAAACGAACATATTTATTATTATTATTATTATTATTATTATTATTATTATTATTATTATATATATTTTGTAAATAATTGGTTATTAAAAATTAATAAATAAATAAATAATCCACGTAATTTTCATTTTTGCCGTTAAAAAAGGAAAAAATGGAAACGTTAGAACCGTTCAATTAAAACCTACGTCATCAGTCTTATTTTTAAAAAAAATGGACGTCATTGTTATTTTTTTAACGATTTTCTTTTTTCTTTTGTTTGTTGTTTGTTTGTTTTCAGGAAGAAAAAGCAACGAAATTAGTTTCTGATGCTAAATTAGGTGAATGAAATTTTCCAAAATGAAAATTTAACGGAAACGTTAAGGTTCGAAAATTTGATTTTTTTGTTGTTGTTGTTGTTGTTGTTGTTAGACGAAGATGATATGAAAGGTTGCGTTGCTGCCATATCTCAAATATTCACGTCTTCTGCTAGATACGGAATAGAAGAAGATGTTTTAAATAACGAATTACAACAATTGGGATTACCCAAAGAACACGCTACAGCATTAGGAAAAGTTTATAACGAAAATAATAATAATCTAACGGAAATCCTTTCTAAAAAATCTCTTAGAAGTATTTTGTTTTTTTTTTTTTTTAATTTTTCATTTTAAATCTATCGAAATCGTTTATAATATTAATTTATTAATTAATTTACGTTTCAGCGAGCGTTTTAGAAGATGTCAATTGCGATATTTCAAATGTTGAAAAACGAGAAATCGAACTCGATATTAAAATAAACGATAAAATCGAAAACGTCGTTAATTCTGACGTCATCAAAATGTCTGCCGAACAGTTAGCTTTACTTATAAACGGTAATAATTTTGTATGAATTTTTTTTCGTTTTATTCGTTGTTAATTACGATTATCATTATATATTTTTTTCATAATGGCGTCGAGTTTAATAATAATAATAATAATAATAATAATAATAATAATAATAATAATAATAATAATAATAATAATAATAATAGTAATTAAATGATTTCAGATTTAAAAAGAGCTCAAGAACGAATGAAAAATTTACCCAAATGAAATGAATTTGATTGATAACGAGGAAGAATTTTCGTTTAAAAATAAATATTTAATAATATAACAATAATAATAATATCGTTATGTAATAATTTATATATTAAAAATACCTATTAACATCACAAATGTTTTTTTTTTTTTTTTGGGGGGGGGGGTTAGTTGAGGTCATTCTCACTTTATCCTATTAATTGTTATTATTATTATTTTAAGTATTCTTTTGTAAATTAAATTTTACCTGAAAGATGTTTACCATAGTCACGTGATTATGACTCAGAATAAAAATAATTCGGGTAAATAATTATTTGAATAAAAAACCAAAAAAAAAAAAAAAAAAAATTTATTAAATAATTTGTGGATGGAGTAGAATGTTCTACAGGGAAATAAATTATGTTGATTAGAAAAAAAAATTAATTATTATTATTATGTGATAGAATGTTTTACTGCTTTCATTCCAGAATTTTTTTGATTTAACAAAATAAAATAAAATATTCACTCCACCGAACGGTGGTTTTTCCATATGATTTTCCTTTGACTGAATTTTTCCCTTTTCTTTGTTAACAATTCCTTTTAAATTTGTTGTTTAGTTATTGTAATGTAACATAATGCACCAAACAAGATGAAATTTTTGGAATGTTCTAACACTCTATGATTAATTTTTCAAATTCTTTAAACATTTCAACATTTTTTTAAATATTTTATTCCATTACCTCCCCTACAAATCGATGAGTGACTAACTCCTTTTTGTTTTATTCCTTAAAATGTCTTTTTCCCTTTTTTTCTCCTTAAAACCTTTCTACAGACAGCTAACCAATTTCTTAACTGACTTTTCTTATGTTTTATGTAAATCAAAATCAGGCTTCCCATTCATTTTCCTCATTTAAGGTGGAGATATTTTCCAAGATATTTTTTCCTTGGATAATAAAATCCACCAACAATACCAATATTTTGTGTACCATCATCGTCTGCTACCATCATCAAACCAAATTTTTTTTTTATAATATTATCATTATTTATTCTCCCCCTCCCCCCGGTGTAAAGCTATTTTTATCCGATTTGACAATAAGAACCAACTTTTACCGTCCTTGGAAAAAAAAGGTTTCCTTTAATAATAATAATAATAATAATAAAAAACATTTACGACGTTTTTTTTTGTTTTTTTTTTAAAGTAAAAATCTTTTTCGGCGAATTCTCCTTTGACGGAATTTTCTTTTTTCCACCCAAAGGAAAAATTCAAATTTTTAAATTTATTACTCGTGTTTGTCAGACAGATTATTTACAACCCCGGCAAGTCTTAGACCTGTAAAAAGGAAAAAAAATTTAATGCAAATAATTTTTCCAAAATGTTTGCAATAATTATATTTCAAAATTTTATACCTTAAAAAAAAAAAAAAAAAATTCCTGACATTAAAACTACCACCCTCAATAATAAAAAACCCTACCATAAAAAAAATTCGAATCCATTTCTTAGCCTTTTTGTAACAAGGAATGAAAAATAGTTAAACAAATAAAATACTCCGTTAATTGTTATTACCTGGAACAATTATTTAAACAAATTATCAATTTAATTTGTTTTTGGTATCATATGACCGTATCAAAGACACCACATTCATATCAATATGGTTTCAATTTATTTATCACCTGGATTCGTATTATAAAATTTTAAAACTACTGCGTTCAATATTAACTCTTAGTCAAACAAACAAACAAACAAACAACGACAACATTTCAACGTCCGTTTTAAAAAAAAAAAAAACGTGTAAAATTAAAAAATATAATAAATATATATTTACGCGATTATTTTAATAACAACAACAACAACGGACGTTATGTAAAAGTGCGCGTAAATTTTAGTTAACGGTAACGAATTTCATAGAGGGTGAAAACAAAAAATCGATTATTTCGATTAATCGATGGAATTTATGATGGAATTTTTAACGTAAATATAATTTAATTCGTTCGAAAATGTGAAAAAAAATGTTTTTGTGAAAATCGAATTCGGGTGAGAAAATGATATTTTCCGGATAAATTAAAATTTCGAAAAAAAAAAATAAAATGAAATACAATATGGAGGAAAGTTTTTATTTTTTTTTTTTTGGGGGGAGGAGGGAGATGTTTGTGTATTTAAACCCTTGATAATAAAAAAAAAAGTTCTGGAATACAAATTTAACGGTTTTGTATCACGTATAAATAAAAAATTCTAAGCTTTCGAATCGAATGAACAAAATATATATATATATAAAATAACAAAAAAGTTTTACTCCCGTGGGCGGTTAAAAAAAAAAAAAAAATATTTATTGGTTTCGTAAAAAAAAAAAAAAAAAATTGAAAATGGAAAAAAATTTTTCTTTTTTTTGTTCAAATCGAATCCTTTTTTTTTTTTTTTTGTCGTACGAAAACTTTTTTTTCTCCCCAATTTTTAATCGTTTGTTATAAAGTTTTAAGTATTTTTTTCAATATCATTTCAACATATTAAATAAAATAATTTGTTTGTTTATATTTAAACGTTTCGAATTATTTTAAATATTTAAATTCTGATTCTCTCTCTCTCTCTCTCTCTCTCTCTCTCTCTCTATGATTGTCTTTTTTTAAAAATATTTTTGGGTTAAAATGAAACGAAAAAAATATATAATATTTAATTAGAAATAAATAAATATTAAGTTGCAATATTCGTCTGGTAATGATGTTACCCCCCCCTCACCTCCCCATTTATGTTTATGAAAAGTCATCATGTCGTCGACAAAACAATTTGTTATAACGTCTAAGATTTTTATTAAACAACAAAACAAACGACAATTTATGATTTTTAGTCTAAATATCTCAAATATCTTATATTGTTGTTGTTGGTGTTGATGTCTGCTGGAAAATTTTGTGGTACACAGGTTTAAATTAAATTGTTATTTAGCAAATAAAAATTTTACAGTTATTCAAGTTAAATAGGATAAGGGTGAGTAAGGGTAAAAATGTATGACTAAGTGGTTGCAAACCTGAGAGTGAAAGCAATGACCTTTGAAGGGGGTTCGCCATTTTGGCGGCTACCTGAATTGAGTAGGTTTGACCAAGAAGAACCTTTTCGTTCGTTATTATTATTTGCAAACCTTTTTTTTTTTTTTTTACTTCTTTGTTAAATTTGCATATAAATAGTGGTGAAAAAATTATGGTAAGGCAGAATCAACTCGACTTTCAAGGAGTACAGAGTAAAATGTTGATTTGGATTGTTGAATCTTGACCGGCTTTGGGGATGTTAAAAACCTCACCGGGTAAGATTCATCCATCCTGATCAATACAATCAACGGTTTCGGCACTTGGTGAACGTTGGGTGTCGACCTAGGCACGTATTTTTAATCGTGACTAGATCGAACACTCGACTTTGGCCAGGGGGTATGTTTCTACGACAGTATACACCAACGGATGGATTGATGCATGGATGGATCTTCATGGAAATGATGTCTGGTCTCTTCTTCTTTGGTTACCTAGTTTTGCGGACATATTTGAGAACCCATAAAGCTAGGTCAGCAAAGCAGAATGGGTCAGACGAATCTTCACATGGAATTTTTTATTAATATTATTATTATCAAGAAGAAAGGGTTCAGGAACTATGACTGTGGTATGTCCACAAAAATCGTATCACAGCCACAGTTACCTTCGACACTTTGTTTCTATGCCTTCATTATTCAACGTCAAAACAATTGTATATATTGTTAGTTAATCAATCTTAGGCTGTAACCTGCTCTGTGGTGATAAAATTTTATTCTCATCACTGGGTGGTGTTACTCCCTAAGATAATTGACATCCTCTTTTTTAAGTTTATGGAAAAATTTGGTCCCAATATGACGGGTGAATCCAACTTGGTATGAGGATGATTATATTAAATAACCTCACCGGGTAAGATTCATCCGTTTGATTGGGAAACAATCATCGTGGAAAAACATTTTTAAGAAAGGTTTTCTCATCTCTTCTTCTTTGGTTACCTAGCTTTGCGGAGTAATATTCAGTCTTCATAAAGCTAGGTCAGCAAAGCAGAATGGACGGAGACGTAACGACAGGAATAAAACACAACAACAAATTTATTTAAATATATATATAATTATATTTCCCATTATCCCAAAGATTCTTTAACAATAAAAAGCATACACCTAATCCAACATTTTTCTAATCATGTAATTTAAAATTCCACCATTTTTATAGTAAGTTAATTCTACTTCTGTATCTAATCTCAATCTTGTATCGAAGCTTCTTCCGTCGTTCAGCTGCAAGATAAAAATTAATTTAATTAAATAAATAAAAAGTCGCCATTTTATTTTTATTACGGAAATATGCTCACATTCACTGTAATTTTTTGCAACGGTTTGACATCGTCTGGTATGTCAATCGTATAAGTTTCCTTTCCGGTGAGTTTCAATTTTTCAGCATCTTGGCCCTCCAAATATTGTAGGGGTATTATTCCCATTCCAACCAGGTTAGATCTGTGAATCCTTTCGTAAGTTTCTGCAATCACTGCTTTTATGCCCTGTAAAAAGAAACCACCATTTTGGTATTTAACCGTTAATTAATTATTCTTTTTTTTTTTAATTTCAGGTTGTTTACCAATAAGTACGGTCCTTTTGCAGCCCAGTCTCTGGACGATCCCGATCCGTAATCTTTACCGGCGAGAATGATTAAGGGAGTATTTTCCATTTTGTACCGTTCGGCAGCGTCGAAGACATCCATCTGTAATTAAATTTAGTTAGAAAAGAAAATTTACAATATCACATACAATTTTCCTCCATACCTCTTCTCCTGTTGGGATGTGAATTGTTTTCGGCCCTGGTTGATTCATGAATTTATTAACAAGCCGGATGTTAGCGAAAGTACCACGTGCCATTACTGCGTCATTTCCTCTTCTCGATCCGTACGAGTTGAAGTCTCTCGGCATTAACCTAGTATCAATATTATGTTTAGTATTAATATTAAATAAATTCTGGACTATTAATTAAAATTTACCCCTTTGATGCTAAAAACCGAGCTGCTGGACTGTTTCTCGCAATACTTCCGGCTGGAGATATATGATCAGTTGTTACCGAATCTCCCAAGTTTAGTAAAACTCTGGCATTTTTGACTGATTTCACTCCAGGTAGTGCCTTAATTAAACAAATAAGTTACTATTTATGATTTCCGGTTTCATTTTTAATAAACTTACGAATATAAGTAGTATTGTTCAAACAAATATTTGTTATTAATCCTGTGCCCTGATTAATTATGTTAATGTCTTCCGGCAAGGTTTTTTTGTTAAACTGACATACTTTCTTTTATAATTGATTTATTTAGAGCGAGGGTAAGAGACTAGTACTAATAATAAATGCAAAGTATTATTGCTCTTTTCCTTACTCTAGTCATTCCATCGAAAAATGGTGGTTTTTTGATATAAGTTGAAGTTTCATTCCATGGGTATAATTTGGAGGGAGGTGCTTGAATGCTTTGCCACGAGAGAGAGCCATTTTGTATTTTTCCGTATACTTCTTCAAACATAACAGGAATTACATGTTTTTTTTCCACTTCTTGGATTTCTGCTCTAAAGTTTTATAAAACAAATGGTTTAGCAGTCGTTTATTAGATATCTTCTTTTGATACTTTATGGAACAAATATTTACCTGGTAGGCCAAATGTCTCGAAGGTATATTTCTTTGCCATCGGGAGTCATTCCAAGAGGTTCGGTTTCGAAATCGATATCCACTCTTCCGGCAATCGTGTAAGCTATTACTAATAAAGGAGATGCCAAGTAGTTAGCTCTTGTGTTGGGGTGAATTCTACCCTCGAAATTACGATTTCCAGAAAGAACGCCACAACAAACCAAATCCGCCTGATTTAACGTATACAATATTGTCCATTAAAGTTTGGAATGATTAATACATGATTAAATTTTAGTTAAACCTACTTTTTCAATAGCTTCGACAACAGATGGTGGAAGTGGTCCAGAATTACCAATACAAGTCATGCATCCATATCCCACAACTGAAAATCCTAATTGCTCGAGGTATGGTACGACGCCACTTTCTTTCAGATAGTACGTTACAACCCCTGAACCAGGCGAAAGAGACGTTTTTATGTAAGGTAAGGTCGTAAGGCCTGCTTGAACAGCTTTTTTTGCTAACAATCCTGCAATATCCTGAGGGTTATTATCTAAAGACTTTCAAAAATTCAAATTATGTATACATTGACTTCATACCAGCTCCTAACATGACACTCGGGTTACTTGTGTTTGTACAACTGGTGATAGCAGCAATCACAACAGATCCATGTTTGAGAATATAATCTTTACCTTCGTAATTAAACGAACACATAGCCTTTGTTTGTTCGGCGTTCAATCCAAAACCTTTGAATCCCACCTAATTATAATTTATTACTTATAATAAGAATTTTTGTATTCATTCTTCTTCAATTTTTTAGATAAACTACTACTTACCTTATTTGTGAGACAGTTCAAAAAGTCTGTTTTCATTTCGCTGACAGATACACGGTCATGTGGTCTCTTAGGACCACTAACTGAACTTACAACTGTTCCTAGGTCAAGTTCTATGACCTGACTGTAAACAGGGTCTTGCGTAGAGTCAGCATAATCTCTAAGCATTTTAGTCGTTTTAAGATAATGCTCCATGACTTTGATTTTGCTTACGGGTCTATCTATAATGAATGCGTAATTTGGAAGTAAAAGTATTTAAAATATTAAATTTTGTAAAACTAAACTTCACATTACTTGTTTTTTTTAAGTAATCTAAACTCTCTTGGTCAACAGGGAAAAAACCAACTGTTGCTCCATATTCGGGACACATGTTGCTTATGGTTGCCCTATCAGCGATGCTCAGTGCAGATACACCAGGACCGAAAAATTCAACAAACTTTCCAACAACTCCCAATTGCCTGAGATGCTATAATTATTGAGTAAAGAATTAACATCAAAAACGGTAATAAAACAAAAGTTTAATAAATTTTTCTGTTAACCTTTGTTATAGTTAAAACCAGATCTGTTGATGTAACATATGGCCCGAGAGTTCCAGTAATTTTGTACCCAACCACTTCTGGCAAAAGCATAGATATTGATTGGCCCAACATTACAGCTTCTGCTTCAATACCTCCTACTCCCCATCCTACTACTCCTAGCCCTATAAGAGTCAAAACATTATAATTTTTTTTTTTATCGAAATGTTAGTTTTAATAGGTTATATAAAAGATGAACTACCATTAATCATTGTTGTGTGAGAATCAGTGCCGACAACTGAATCAGGATATAATAAATTATCAACATTGAACACCAATCTAGCCAAATGTTCCAAATTCACTTGATGAACAATTCCTGAGCCTGGAGGTACGATTAACATATTTCTAAATGCTTTTGCACCCCATTTTAAAAATGTGAATCTTTCTTTGTTTCTCTCAAATTCTAAATCTTCATTTTTTTGTAATGCATCAGAACTGTAATAACATATTTTCTCAAATTAATATTTGCTCATGTATTATTACACCCAATCATGTAAAAGAATTACGTTTTAACAAAATCTACTTGAACTGAATGATCAATTACAAGATCAGATGGACAAATGGGATTTATTTTGTCAGGATCTCCTCCTAATAATTTTACAGCATCTCTCATAGCAGCAAAATCAACCACTGCTGGAACTCCAGTGAAATCCTGAAGAATTACACGTGCAGGTTTGAAAGCTACTTCTACTCCACCAGGTACTTTTTGATTTGTCTCCCATTGTAAAATATTTTTTACGTCGTTTTCTGTTACCTACAATTTTAGGTATTTGCATCAAGTTAAATTAAAATTAAGATACTTTATTACAAATATAGACGTGAATGATAATTATTTAATTACTTGAAAGTTGTCACAGTTCCTAACTGCCGACTCTAATAAAACTCTTATCGAATAGGGTAACCTTTGATAAGCATCCCCAAAGGCGCATAAATCAAAATATTTGTATTCAATTCCATCTAATAAAAAGGAATTGAAATAATTTTTGTAAGGATTTCTTTCTGAAAATTTATGAAATTAAAATATTAAATAGGATTTTATAAAAGGTTTGATTTATTTTTTAAAAAAAATAATAATAATAAAAATTGATAACTCATTGATATGCTATAACACTGCGTCATCACGTATTGCTACACAAATGTTGTGTAAGCATTTATTTAAAAAATTAAATTTTTGTAATTATTAAATTTTTAAAAATTTTATAGGTTTTATTTTATTTTACATTCAAATTCAATTAAATAATATTTATAAATACATTTACTTACCATTCATTTTATTTTTACTCTCAGAATGATAAGTCTGAATAGTAGATTATTCAAACTAACACAGTTAATTTTCTATTGACCCGATAGTTTATTAACATGGCACCGGTTGGTAAATACTGTGCTAACGGAGGGGAGTCAGATCAAGATAGCGGTTTGTTTTGGTTTTTTCATTTAAATTCATTAATGAAATCTTATTTTAATTATATGTATATGTTACTCAACGAGTATTTTTTGAATTTCAGTTAACAATTCGGGATCTGATTCAGAAGGTGCAGAAAGTAATGCTTCAGGAAGCCGGAGTAGCAGTGCAGAATCTGGGAATCAAACTCGAAGATCAAGTCCTAGAAGTGATCGTTCAAAATCAAAATCTAGAAGTCCAGCCAATTCTCAAGGTTCAGGTAGTTGGCACTCCGACGCTGGTAGTCATGGTAGAAAATCAAGAAGAGATTCTGCCTCCTCTGGCAGTCCACGAGGTGCTCATTCAGAGAGAAGCGCCAAGTTTGATAGTGGTCGATCCCGTAGTCCGGAAGACAAAGCTGATCATTCACCTGGATCTGCTCATGAAAAATCTTCTAGATCTCCAAGTCCAGAAGGTGAAAGAAGTGGTTCAGCATCTCCTTCTAAAGCTTCAGAAAGTGGTGAATCAAGATCTGAATCACCGGATAATAAAAGTATTGACTCTGGGAAAAATAACAGAAGAAGTCAATCTGTGAATTCGGATAATGAAAAGAATAGAAAATCAAGATCAAGAAGTAAAGGAAGTAATAATTCAAGACAAAGTAGTGCTGGTTCAAGATCTGGTAGTGTCAGTGATAATGATTCTCAGCATTCGAAAGAGCAATCTGAATCTCCAGGTAGAGAGAACAATGATAAAAATAGAGATTCTATCGGTGAGGAAGATCATACTTCCAATGATAGAAAAAGTAGGGTTAAATCTTCAAAACGTAAAAGTCATTCAGGTAGTGATAGTGATAATCATTCAGATAAAGTAGTTTCTTTAAAGTCTTCTAAAAGTCGATCTAATAGCCCTCGAAAGAGTAAAAGTAATTCACCCAAGTCTGACAGATCTGGGTCTCCGGAAAAAAATAGAAAATCACATTCAAGAAGTAGATCTCCTGTAAGTGGCAGTGGAAGTGATAATGAACAAATTAAGGAAACCAGTACCAGGTACCAATTTAAAAACTTTTAATATGTTTAATCTTTTCGATTTCATACAAACTGATTTCAATATTTTTATGTAGTTAAATGTTCGAACCAATGATTTATTACAATTTTTATATTAAATTTTTTTTTTTTTTTTTTTAGAAAAAGAAAGAGAGCAGTTATAAGTGACGACAGTGGTTCTGACACAGGTAAAAAAAATGCAGACCCTGAAAATGATAGGGAAGACGGTGAAGATAGTGAAAAAGATTTAGTCAGTAAGTATTACTTCCCACAGCACAAATTACTATTAATTCATTATCGATTTAGTTTTAAAGATTAATAATAAATATTGAAATTTTTCAGTTGATGCAGAAGCTCTATTTGGAGATGCGTCAGACATTAGCTCAGATGAAGAAGGTAGAAAAAAGAAAGGATTGAAAAAACATGTCGAGAGTGAAGATAACAAGTCTCAAGGTGAAGAAAGTGATGCAGAGAGTCAAAAAGAAAAAAGCGACGATGAAAAAATTGATATGGACGGTGATGAAAAAGACGAAGACAAAGAAAATATTCCCGAAGAACCTCATCCCGAAACTCGTATCGATGTTGAAATACCTAAAATAACAACAGATTTGGGAAGAGATCTTCATTTTGTCAAGTTACCAAACTTTTTATCCGTTGAAACGAGACCTTTCGAACCTTCCACGTACGAAGATGAAATCGACGAAGAGGAAACATTAGATGAAGAAGGTCGTGCTAGGTACGTGGGTTAATGAATGGTTTATTTTCACCATTCCCGAATCCTGAAATCTAATTAATTTTTTTACAGGTTGAAATTAAAAGTTGAAAATACAATTAGATGGAAAGAAGTAACGAAACAAAATGGCGAATTCGAAAAACAAAGTAATGCTCGTTTTGTTAAATGGTCAGATGGTTCCATGTCTTTACATTTAGGCTCGGAAATATTTGACGTATACAAGCAACCTTTACAGGCACGTTATTTTGTACCTTAGAAAGAGCATCATCGGAATCGAAAGTTTTAAAATTTAAATTTTTCTTGTACAGGGCGATCACAATCACTTGTTCATAAGGCAAGGTACGGGTTTGCAAGGTCAGGCCGTTTTTCGAACCAAATTGACTTTCAGGCCGCATTCTACCGAATCTTTCACTCATAGGAAAATGACAATGTCTCTTGCCGACAGATCACAAAAGACTGCTGGAATAAAAGTATTATCATTAGTGGGTAAAGATCCCGAGGCTCACAGAGGAGAATTAATCAAGGTGGGAAAAAAGAAAAATAACAGTGGAGAAGCCATTTTTTTTTTCTCGGTGTAATATTTGTATTCGTGTTGTTTGTTGTCATGCAGAAAGAAGAAGAAAGATTGAAGGCGTCGGTTAGAAGAGAGAGTAAACAGAGACGAATACGAGAGAAAAGCGCTCACCGCGGTCTGTCTGCCGGATACCTGGAACCTGATAGATACGGTGATTTAGATTCGGACGAAGAAGGAATATCGATAAACGCGATTAAAAAACAACATAGGAATAAATTAAATAACAGCGGGGGTAATTTTAACACCGATGATGATGATGATAATAATATTTATTTTTTTTAATCTGTATTTATAAACTGAAATTATTATTATTATTATTATTATTATTATTAGACGATCGATCTCATATATACTCGTCGGACGAAGAAGGTTCGGATATTGAAACGAGAAGAGCAAGAAGGTTGGATAAGGCAAAAGCATTAAAAGATTCAGATTCGGATGATTCCGGCGGTGGTGGTGGTGGTGGAGGGGGAGGAGGTTCAAACTCTAAATCAGCCATTCAAAGTTCTAGCGAAGAGGATTAAAATTAGGAGGAGGAGGAGGAGGAGGATTTTTTTCAAAAATATCATTCGGATGTTTTCGTCGATATTAACGGGGAGGGGAAGGAGGGAGGGAGGGAGGGGGAAGAGAAAAAAGTATAAGATTCATGTATGTATGTATATATATATATATATTATGATGATTTCATCATTTTATATAGTATAATGAAGAACATTTTTTTTTTTAAAAGTGTCGTTTTTTTTTTTTTTTTTCCAAAGTTAAAACATACACAAAATAAAAATTACATTTTTTTTTTAGTATATTTTCACATACGATAAGATTAATTAATAAAATAATAATAATAATAATAATAATAATAATAATAATAATAATAAAATAGATGTATACAATTTGTATGACGCGTAAGTTTGTATAATTGCATAAACGATTTATTATTGATAAACAACGTTTGTTGTCGTTGTTGTTTTCCTTTTTAATATAATAATAATAATAATAATAAAAACCAATTGATTACAAAAAAAAAAGAAAAATTATATATATATATAATTTTACGATTAAAATGATTAAATCAATGAATCACACGTTATTATAATAATAATAATAATAATTAACTTAAAATTAATTAAAAATCACAAATAAGCGTTTAAAAAACAAAAAAAAAAAATTAACGTCACTAATCATTTCACACAATACTGCACCAATATTTATTTCTTATTTATATATATAAATAATAATAGTTTATGTTAAAAATCATTTTATGTATATATATATATATATATATATATAATGATGCAAACAAACGCACGCACTCACGCACTCACTCACGCACTTACGCACTGACTCTAACACTTATACGTTCGAAAGAGATATAAAAACGACCATTTTTCTTACTTTCCTCCTTCCTTTCTTTTCTTTATTTCAAATAACAAAATTATATTTTTTTCCTCCTTTTATATATATATATATATATATATATATATATAAAAACAAAAAATAATAATAATAATAAAACTAATAATAAAAAAAAAAAAAAAAACTAAATCAACTTAAACCTGAGTTTTAACATTAATAATAATAATAATAATAATAATAATAATATTAATTTTCTTTCCTTTTGATTTGAAATTTTGTGAAACAAATAATTCACGCATTATTTATTTATTTATTTATTAATTAATTAAAAGAAAATCTTCCTTCTTTCTTTCTTTACAACGTCAATAAAATAATAATAATAATAATAATAATAATAATAATAATAATAATATGAAGCACGTTCTATTCCCCCCCCCTCTCTCTCTCTCTCTCTCTCTCTTTCTCTCTTTTCGTTTGCATCTCACGAACGAACCAAAAATCAAAAAAAAAAAAAAAAAACTGACCGATCAAACAAACGAAAAACACAACAACATTAAAAAAAAGTTTTCTTGTTTGTTTTGTTTGTTTGTTTGTTTGTTTGTTTTTAAACAAACCCGCAAAATTGTTTTTATATGTACATTGAATTTTTTTTTTTTTTTTTTTTTCTTGGAGATTTTTCAAAATTTCCAAATTTGTCATCATTATTCACATCTTCATCGAATCTTCATTTCCTTTTTTTCTTTCTTTTATTGCAAATCCACACAAATCCCTTTGGAAGGTTTTTTTTTTTAAAAAAAAAAAAAAAAAAGTTTTTGCAGTCGTTCATTAATAAAACATCTTTGGCTGTTGTCGCTGCTGTTGCTGTTGTTGTTACCCTCGTGTAAATTTCAATAACATCGAACAAAAACTAACGACTTTCATCATTATTATTCCTATTTAAATCCTTTTATTCCCGTGATTATTATTATTATTATTACTATGATCGAAACCGTTGAAAATGTCAGAAAAAAAAAAAAAAAAATTTTTTTAAATTAAAATTTCGCGCGGACGATGAACGACAGCAAATTTTAAATTTATTTATTTATTTATTATTCATTTGTGAAATTTTTTTTTCTTATTTAATTCGACGAGAAAGAAAATCTTCAGCATGCCTGAAACAAAAAAAGAAAAAAAAAATTAAAATTAAAATTAATAAATAATTTTTTAATCAAAAACAAAACAAAAAATTTAGCGGGAAATTCATATTCTGACACGTGACCGCGTCGTGTAAATAACAACAACATCGACTCGTTGCCTCGCGAGATTTTTCCCTCATTCGATGCAATGTAAACAAGCAACGCGGTGTGACGTAGTCGCGCATGCGTGTGACGTCACAAGAGCGCATTCACGAATCTCAGTTTAAATCAAACAACTCAGGTAAGTGGAACTAATTTAAACGGTTTTTTTTTCTTTTTCTTTTTTTTTTTCTTTTTTTTTTTTTTTAATTTTTTTTTTTCGCATCGAGGAAATAAATAAAAATTTCGTTTTACTGATTTCGTAACGATTTTTTTTTTTTTTTTGAAATTATTAATAACTTTAGAAAATGAACAAAAACCCCAAAAAAAAAAAAAAGAAAAAAAAATTTTTTTTTTTTTTTTTTTCAAATACTTTCACTAACGAAAATAAATATAAATCATTTGCGGTTGGGAAGTAGACAACAAACAATTTTTTTTTTTTTTCTTTTTTATTAACTTTTCCGTTCATTGTTTTTTTTTAAACCGAAAGTAATTAATTCTCATCGAACAATATACGCGAATTAAAAAAAAAAAAAAAAATGATGATGAGAAACAACCGCCATGATGGACAAAAAAAAAAAAAAAATTCGGGTCGAACGGAAAAAAGAAAAAAAAATTTATTTACGATATTCTCGTCATCTAGGTCATCATCCTCCCTCTCCACTCCCCCAAAACAAACAACAACCCTTAATCAACGGTCGAAAAAATCCACGTTATAAATATACGCAATGTGAAAAGGAGAAAAGAGGGCAAAAAACGTTACCGCCATTTTGATAAATAAATAAATAATAATAATGACGCATTTCCGGTCAAATTAATTTTTTTTTTTTCGCATTATTTCCGGTTTGGTCTTTTCGGGTATTTTTTTTTTTTTTTTTGGTAACAAAATTATACCTGTTCGTGGCAGTTTTTTTTTTTTTTTTTTTTTAAATTCCCATGACGTATGCAAAAAAAAAAAAAACCGTTAAAATTTTCCCGATTTCGCCGATACGCAGCAGACGACGACAATCGACAAACGGAAACCGAAAAAATTAACAAACGAACAAACGAAACGGAAAACGAATGAGGAGAATAATGAATATGGCGTCAAATTATGGCAAAAAAATTTTTTTTTTTTTTTCCCCTTCGACAAACCTTGAACGAAAAACCGACAACAAATTTGTTGTTGTTGTTGCCGTTTGCCGTTTGTCGTCCTCGTTGTAACAACTTTTCAATCGGTGAGAAATAAATAAATAGAAAACAAAATAACCCTACGACGAGATATAATTTAGTAAAAGGAAAACCTTGAATAGGATAAAAACGAGATTTTTGACGTTTGGCTAATAAAAAAAAAAAAAAAAAAATGGCGTCCATACAATAAAGTCCTTGATTGTCTTTCTTTTAACTAAGTAAACCACCACCGATTTAATCGATTTAATCAAAATCACTTTCTTGTTCTTTCGACAACGACAAGCGCGACATTTATCTCGGGGGTGGTAGGGGGGAAGGAGGAGGGGGTTAACTTTATGGGAAAAAACAACAAAAAATGGAAGAGATTTTTACCTTAACTATGTAAGCTTTCCCGTAGCCTCCTTTGCTTTGCATTTGACCCTGGAGTGCGTCCAGGTGAGAGCTTTCTATTTCCAAATCTCCACTTCCGATGTGTACCGTGTGCTGGAAATTCATCGGATACCCTATCATGGACCTATCTATCCTCGCTCTCGATCTTTGGACAGCTTGCCTTTTCCTTTGTGCGGGTTGATTCGTGCAACAACCGAACCATTGAAGCCAAATTTCACCGGCGAAATTACTTGACTGATATCCAGACATGGTCTGAAAATTTAAAAAAAAAAAAAAAAAAACGTGGAAGCAGAATGTACAAAAAAATCCAAAAAGGAAACGAGGAAGACCGTGCGTGTGTGCGTGCGTGTGCGTGTGTATTTTTTCATTACGTAAAGTTTCACGACGTGTTTTTATTATCATTATTATTATCATTATTTATTCATCGTCTTCGCCATATTTAAAATAAAATTCCGCGTTTTCTCGTATTCCTTATATAACGATCCGCCCGTCATCCGTGATGAATCGCCAAATAAATAATAAATTTAAATTTTATTAAACATCATTTATTCCTTTTTCGCGAAATTTTTCAGGCTGCCCCCCTACCCTCCCTTCCCCCGCATATCCACACAATAAATTAATCCGCGACGATCGTGACGATGATGATGATGATAATTCTCTTTTGCAAAAGTGTGACGATAACACCTCATCAGGAGAAGGAAAAAAATCCGGTAATCGGGTATTATCGATATAAATAACGATATTATAATTTAAAAACCGTGTGCCTTTTTCAATCGCGCCATTTTTAAATTTCATAACGGATCAAATTCCCCTCCCCTCTACCTTCCCTCCCAAAAAAAAAAAAAACGACGAAACGATTCATTCGAAATTTTATTATTATTGTTATTATTATTATTAATTATATTTTCAAAATTCGAACAATAATTTTCAATTCCTACTCGCGTACATTAAATAATGATGATGATGATGATAATAATAATAAAACCTACGATAATGTTTTATGAATGCCACAATTTCCGATACCATTTTTTTCAAAATGATGGAACGTACTTAATTTATGGAAAAACTTTCGGGAGGGAGGAGGGGAGAGAGAGAGAGAGAGAGAGAGAGAGAGAGAGAGAGAGAGAACGAACGATTAGGATGTGATAAACAAAACAATAGAAAACAATAATAATAATAATAATAATATAATTAAATATGACCTAATTTGTAAGCAACCCTGATGTATACAAACACAAACACACAACATGAGCCTCCGCCTAACTAAATAATAATTTCACTCTCATCACATGATAAATAAATCATTTTTGACAGAATGATGTTACTCGTATGTACAAAGGATATCGTGCGTGCCGTCACGCGCACTACCACACACATACACGCACACACAAAGAATTAAAAAAAAAACGATCGGGGTAATAGAAAGAGAGAGAGAGAGAGAGAGAGAGAGAGAGAGAGAGAGAAACAAATCGTTCGATTTCGAACCGTTAGTCTTTTTTTTTTATAACACCTCCATCAACCCGGATGGAAAACACACATTAAAAAAAATACATAAACGCTGAAAAAGTGAAAGTATATACAAAACGATTGACAAAATACACCACGACGTGGGATAAGAAAACAACAACAACAACCACGACAAAACTTTTTTGCTTTGACACCGGATATCATTGAAAGGGGGCAAAACAAATTCTCCGGGTGTAAAAAAACCAGGAAAAAAAAAATTACGTAAAACGACAGAGCCAAATAAAGGGGAGTTACGTACACCACCACCCACACCACCCTCACATCCCCTCCCCCTCCCTACTCCCCCACCCCCTCAATCAAAAAAAAATTTTTTCTTTCCTTTCCTTTCGTTTTTTTTTTTTTTTTCCACTTTCACATTTTGCCTTTTTTTCTTTTCTTTTTTTCCAAACTCCATCGCATTATAATTAACATAATTATCATTATCATTATGATTATTTCTTTTATTTATTTATGGAAACTAACATTTCCAGTTTGATCATCGGATTCGTATATGCTAAACAAAAAAAATCATCCCGCGTTTTTTCTTTATTTATTTATTTACTTTCTATTAACCTTCTTCTTCTTCATTTTAACTTTCGAAAATTAAAAATGTCTGCGAATGTCGTGGTACTAAAGTCGTCGTCCGCCATTACTAACGTAAATGTGTCCTTTTTTCTTTTCGTGAGGGGGGGGGGTTTCCTTTCTTGGAAAAGAAAAACAAAAAGCAACTTCCTTTCCATTATACTTTTTTTTTTTTTTACCGGTTACGTAATTTGAATTTTTTTTGTTTGTTACAACCGACTTGAAAGTTGATTTTTTTTTTTTTTTTTTTTTCGCAACTTTCATTTACATTTTTTTTTTTTTTTTTTAAAGGAATTTTATTTAACCCCGAAGGGCATTGAAAAATTAACGAATCTCATTAATTTTTTTAATTTATCAAGTTTTTTTTCGCAAAAAAAAAAAAAAAAAAAAAAAAAAAATTATAACGTTTATTATTTAAATTGATTCGTTCGCGCCTGCCCGCTTCAAAAAACAAAATGGCGACTCTCTAAATCGCACACACTCGACTCGAAATTTTACACAAAATTCAACGCGACAACAAAAAATTTATGTAAAACGTCAAAAACAATTAAAAAAAAAAAAAAACTCGTTTTAATTTTAATAACGACGTGGCAACAGAATTCAACTTTTTTTCATTTCGCCCCCCCCCCTTTATCGCGAGATTATAAAATCTCATTTAATGTGAATAATTTTAATAATAATTATTATGCAGGGAAAATTAAAAACTTTGCTTAAGGTTTCTCTCCCCTCCCGCCTTCTCTCTCTCTCTTCGTGTCCTTTATTGGTAACACGCGCACGACTACACTAAATGAATAAATATTCATTTTCCCTTTTTTAATGTTTACCAGAAGAAAAAAATTATTATTATTATCATTGTAATTAATTTTTATTTCTTTTCCGATTAAAAATCTATTAAAAAAGAGAGAGAAAGAGAGAGAGAGAGAGAGAAAATAACAATAAAGAAACGGAAATCGTACACGAGTCACCGAGTATTTCCGGTCGGTCGATCGCTCGGTTTCTTCCTTTCCTTTTAAATCACGATTGAAAAAGAGAGAGAGAGAGAGAATTTTTTAACATGCGCAAAAATTTTTTAAATGTATGGGGAAGAGGGAAAAATCCAGAGTCATCCCGAGGGATTCGATTTTTTATAAAAATGCTTACGTTTGTTTGTTTGTTTTTTTAAACTGTCCATTATCTGTTAACAGTCGATATTAAAACTCTCGCTCCCCCTATAGTGATGATAATGTATAAAACACACGTCGCGTATGCGATATGACGATTTCTAACTCTATTATTATTATTATTATTATTATTATTCATAAACCGTAAAAAGCCGAAATGTGCGTGTGCGTGTGTGTGTGTGAACTCGCATACAAATTAACATTCACCACCACCACCATCACCATAACCACGTTGAAACCTGCGGGCTTAAAATGGGGAGACGCCATTTTTCCCTTTTACAAAAAAAAGAAATAATAATAATGATGATGATGATAATAATTTAATACGTTCCGTCATTAATTACGCGCCAACAACAACAACAACCGAATATCATTCGAATAACTAATAAAAATAATAATAATTTCTTTCTTTCTTTCGTCACGTTCGTTTTTTTTCCCCTTTTCCTTTTCTTTTTTTTCCTTCTCCTCCCACGTTTTTCCAGAACGACAGAAAAAAAAAAAAAAAAACAAAACTCACGAAAAACCGAAACTTTGTTAAGAAAACAAAGCCGACCGACGTGGCAGTAGACTTTAATTTGTAAGAAAGAAAATAAAAATTATATATTATTACCATTACTACTGTTCTTACCGTCTGGGCAAGGGGGTGGGCGGCAGGGAGGAGGGAGGTGAAGAAGGAGGAAAAGGAGGAAGGAAGAGGGGAAGGGAGGGGAAGCGGCGTTTTAAAATTCAAGCACAATTAAATTAAAATTCAATAAGTAAATTAAAAGTTTCTCATCCTGAAATCATAATTATTGCAGACAATAACAACAACAACAACAACCAAATATAAATAAATAAATGCAATTCAATAATAATAATAATAATAATGAAAGGATGACGTGAAAAGAGAGAGAGAGAGAGAGAGAGAGCCATTGAAAAAGGAAAAAAAAAATGTGATTCTTATACAACATCGTGTATCTTAAGGTGAATTCTATGAGAATTCTTCTTCGACGGCTCTCGAGGTTCAACGAACCTTCTTCTTCATCTTCTTCTTCTTCCACTACCGTAAATTCTTCTTCTTATTTTCCGGAGATAAAGGATTTGCAAATAAACAACACACACATCATCATCATCATCATCATCATCATCATCATCATCATCATCATCATACCCGACTGACGACGACTCCTTTTGGTTTAAAAAACAAAAAAAAAAACTTTAAATTAAAATAATTTTTTATTTAGGTACATTTTGAAATGTACATGATGACACTAAGGTTAAATACCTTAAATTTAGAAAAAATCTTTCCCCTCCCTTCTTTTCTACTCTCCCATCTTCTCTCCATTTTTTTTCTTTCCCCCTTGGGACATTTTATCTCCACCTCCCGACTACTACCACTACTACTACCTGTTCGTTAAATCTAACCCGAAATGAAAATGACCAAGTGAAGGTTTTATATATTTTTTTTAATCTCCGCCCCCCTCCTCTCTCTCTCTCTTTCTCTTCCCCCTTCCCCTCCCTCTCTCCCCTCCCCCTCTCTCTTATTCATCATCAATTTAAATATCTCGTCACGTGAAATAAAAAAACAAAACAAAAAAAAAAAAAAAAAAACTTAAATCTATTCTTAACTAAAAAAATCTTAACGAGAATAATAGAAACTTGAACCTGACCTTGAAAAATTAAATAATAATAATAATAATTCTGATGACCGGTTCGATCGATTTAATACAACCAAACAAAGACCGACTTTTCCAGACCGAAAAAACAAATCATATTTTTTTTATTATTATTCGGTTTCTTACACGGTTTGCGATTTAATTTTTTTTCCCGTCGTCTGCTTTCGTACTGCGTACCTGTACGCCAATCAAGGTTATACAATAAAAATTATAAAAAAATAATAATAATAACGAAAAATGAATACCGAAAAAGGATTTTCGCCATTTTGAAAAAACAAAAACAATTTTTTTTTTTTTCCTTTTTAATTTGGAAATTTTCTACTCGATCGTGGAAGGAGAGAGAGAG